AATGTGCTAATGAGTATACAGCTGGATCATGGAGATGCAGAAAAGGTGTAGAAAAAAGAAGAAGAAAAGACAGAGGTTCTCAAATTTAAAGCTTTCACCATTACCTGCTTGCCAATTCTTATAAAGCAAACATGTTTTGTAGACCTTCCACAGTCAAATTGTGGAAAATTTCATTTATTCTTCCTTTAATGTGGATAGCAAGTCTGGCTCTTATATATTTATTCTGAAAAGAAAGGCCCTTTTGCTGAACTTTTATGAAAGGAGTCATATATATTAACACTTGATTAATCTCTTGTAATAGTACATACACAGAAAATTATTATGAACCAATGAAATAAATCTTGAAAAAAATTATGCAAAATATATAAAAGAATAAATCTTGCAAAGGAAATGATTACTGCTGGTATTACAAGAAAGAGCAAAAATATGTTCTTCAGATCCAGCTGATGTTTGTAAATAATTTGCCATTTGGTAGAGAGAAATATTTTCTGTCAAGCAAGGACAAAATCATGTTTAAAGTAATGATGGTTATGCATTAGCATATTTTTTTCCAGACCAAAAAAAAACACCAATTGTAATTATTTCTCTTAACTTCAAAAGAAAACATATTTTAATTTGTAGGAACATCATATGCACCGCCAAAATTATTTACATTAAAGCAAATACAATTTATTTCAAAAGGTTCCAGTATTGTGAACCTCATCCTTTCTGATGGGTTTGAAGTGGATCCACAGAAAAATATAAATATTGCTTACTAAAGATAATAGTGCAATGCAGCATTTTAAACCATTGAGCAAATCATTCTAAACTTTTTTTTAAAGGGATCAGTGGCTGCAGGGAATCATAAGTGTAAGACAGTAAGGAAAGCAGGGGGTCTCAATCTTTTAAGCTCTGACAGACTTCAGGGCATTCTACCACATGCATTACCATCTGGCCATACTGGGCTTACCTGGACAGGCAGAGGGGATCATCCTAATTCATGTGACAAAAAGGTGTAAATGCCAATTATCTTCCCGCATAGACTACAGCATGACTTCTTTTTACCGTAATTCCAATCTGACATCCAGCTATGGACAAATGTCCATGCTTGATTAAGATACTGTCTCAGGAATCTTTTCCTTCTGTTAAAATTGGGCTTTGGCACAAATTTTGTTGAAATAGGCTGCCCTCATATTTTCAAGAAATAAGCAGACTGCCTCTTTCTTGTTGCTCAGACTTTTATATAGCAAGGTTATAGATAGCAGTCTGGAATACCTTGTACAGTACGTTCCTCCTGTTGCAACTTTCATGACCACTGATCATGCTAGCATGGATGATAGGAAGCATATAAAATATTCAACTAACCAAAATATCAAAATATTTAAAACAAAAACAGACTAAAGGACAAAAGAGGGGCTCATAATCACCCAAGGCCTGCGAGAACAACCCCGGTCTTCAATAGTTGAAGTCAGGTTGGGAGTCACACTAATTTCTAGGCAGAGGTCATTTCAGAAAGCAGTAATTAGAACAAAACAGGTACATTTCCTGTGTCCCACAAGATTACATTCTTTAGTTAATGGGATCAGGAGAATAATAATAATAAAAGTAACCTGGTTCTAAATGTTAATAAAACAAAAGAGATCATTGCAGAATTTAGAAAGAGCCGGCATAGTCATACTCCACTCAGTATCAAGAGATGGTCAACAGTGTTAAGTATCTGGGGGTGCTTAATCCCTAACAATCTGAACTGGTTTCTCCACGTCATCCTTAGTGAAGCAAATGCAAACCAGCACCTTCATTTCCTACATCGGATGAGGAGAGCACATCTCTCTCCTTCTGCCCTGGCCACTTTTTACAGAGGGACAATTGAGAGTGTTTGGAACTGCATCACTGTTTGATTTGGTGGTAGCAGTGCCCAGGGGTGGGATTCTACCGGTTCGGACTGAATTGGGTGAACCCCTTGCTCCAAAGATTAGCTGGCAGTGAACTGGTCCACTGCGATGGGCATGTAGGCCTGCCCGCCCACCCCTGCTCTTTCCTGTGCTTTATTTCCTTTGTTTAGAACACAGCTGATTTGTGCGGCAGAGCGGTTTGCCACACCTCAGCTGTTTTATTCACAGGGACTGCTGTAGAAGGTAAGTATTAAAGCTTTGCTAAACTCGGAGAGTGCGCACAGAGCACGCGTTTGGCACATGTGTGCGTATGCGCACGCAAAGCGTGCGGTTACCGAATTGGCTGTTATACCGGTGGAATCCTACCCCCGGCAGTGCCTCAGATAGAAGGTCTTTTGCATTGTGCTAGTTTCCACACAATTCCTACTGCACCAGCCAGCAGGGCTTAAGTCTTGATTATTTCTGTGTTGTGTAATTCTATTGATTCATTAATGAGTTTGCTGGTCTAGGAAATATTTTACATGGGGGCAGTGAAGTTTGGCTCTACAGAAAAGGCTCCTCCCCTGGCTGTTGTAGTTATTTTGTCCAGAACCTATGGAAATTGCGAGTTTATTGATATTTTTGTATGTATTTGTTCTGCAGTTTGCTTGGCAGTCATAGCAGTGATAATACAGTATTTCATTATGACATAGGTGTGGTTTGTGGGTATGCAGTTTTGTAGAGTTGTTACCAGCCTTGGTACCTCTTGCTAGTCTTTTATCCAAATACTGGATAGATCTAACTCTGGTTTCAAAACTCAGCCACGTTTGGTTAGATGCTTCCACTTACAGGCATTATTTACAAACTGACCCATTTAAAATATGCCTCTAAACTCTAGGAAGAACTACCCATGAAAAAGACTCAAGTGATAAAAATAGCTCCACAATAAATCAAAATGCCACCTCTGTCCCATCTCAGCCTACACTATTAAAAAAAAAAACATAATAATTTCTATTAGGAACTTGCTCACATGACTGCCTTCCAAAATATCCAATTCATATACAATCAAACATCAGCTACAGTTTTCTGCTGCATTGCCGAAACACATATATCAATAGTTTCTCTCTTGGTATGCCTTGAAGGTCTATTAGCTCATCTTGAGTCCTTAAGTGATGAGTGGCTCTGGTCCCAGTTTATGTTGTTTATTTTTATGTTTTAAATATTTTGACTGCTTTTTTTAGATTATGTAAGCAACTCAGAGTATCAGTGTGGACAGCCATAACAAATTTAAATAAATAATTTCTGATCCCCACAAATTCCTATGCGGTTTCTATTTTCTGAGAAGAACTGAGAAATACTGGCCTTGTTTCTAAGTTAATTGGTAATGGATTATAAATCCCCTTAAGATTGTCTTTGCATGGTGTAGGAATAAGAGTGGAATAATTACAGCCAAGATAAACTCTCAAACCTATCTCAAAGATAAGAGCAAAGTCAGGGTGCCTGAATATGTGTGTGCAAGGAATAAAGCCCACAATCATTTTTTGCTTCAGTTATTTTTTTAAATAAGATCCTTGGCCTAGTTCACTGTCACTGTAACTATCACTAAACCTGTTTGGATTTATGATTTACTCCCAGTAAAAACAATAATAAAAACCACATAATACATCAACATGATGTATGTATGATCCTAGCCAGTCACTATACCCCAAAGTAAAAGGACATATGTACCATCACTTAATGATAACATCAATGTTCAGGAATCAGCAGGAGAACATTTAATCCAGTGGTGGGATTCAAAAAAATTTACTACTGTTTCTGTGGGCATGGCTTGGTGGGCGTGGCAGGGGAAGGTTACTGTAAAATCCCCATTCCCTCCCCACCCCACTAACCTGCTTTCCAGCTCCGTTCTCCTGTGCAGGGCAACAAAAGAAGACCCAGCTGATCAGCTGGGACTCGGGAGGCAGAGAATAGATGGGGGCGGGCCAGTCAGAGGTGGTATTTGCCGGTTCTCAGAATTACTCAACATTTCTGCTATCAGTTCTCCAGAACTGGTCAGAACCTGCTGAATACCACCTCTGATTTAATCTCCCTGAAAAGAAAATTATCTAATTAAATAACTGTTCTTCAACAAAAAGCATGAAATGTATGAATCAAAACTTATCAAGAAATGTTAATTACCACTGTAAATCTCAAGACAGTTATCTTCTCACGCTGTAAGGGGCAAAAGCACACAGCAAAACTGGAACATCTGCCCTTAGCAATTAGTGTTTATTTTTCATACGCTCAAATTTTCTAGTCACACACATTGTGCTTTTTACACATGAGCTAAGCTGCTTACAATTCCTCCCAATTTCCCATAAACACAGGTATACATCAGTCAGTTGCCTCAAAGATGCTTTTTTAAAAGGTCACAGGACTTTCCTTGCTTTTGCTTGAAGACGTTTTGCTTCTCATCCAAGAAGCTTCTTCAATTCTGCAAAACGTCTTCAAACAAAAACAAAGAAAGTCCAGTGGCCTTTTTTTTTTAAAAAAAAAAAAAACATCTTTGGAACAATCATGGCCTGCCCTGGATGACTGAGAATTTCTATAGACATACCAGTCAGTTGAGAACAAGATGTCATGTCTGATGAAGTCAAAAGCATGCTATGTATTAAATCTGATCTCTTTCGGGGATCTAAGAATCTCTCATTTAGGTACTCCTATTTTGGGGGCTCTCTTTCAGATCTCAGCAGCTATTTTGTACTTTGGGTTGAGGGGGGAATCTTTATTTGCTTCTCAACAGCTGCTTCTGTTCTGATATGAAAGAATGAGGCTCAATTGGAGCAAATAAAAAACATTGATTTCTTATTTGTTGTCTATTTGGGAGGAGTTATCTTTCAGTAACCATGGATATCTGTCAGACTGGGATTGGAACATTGGCACTTCATTTCACTGCACAGGCAAAGGGGCAGCAACTCCAGAGATTTTGCTGAACGCTGCAGTACAAAGTGAGACCAAGAGAGGAAAGAAGGAAAGGACAGAACAGAAAAAGCTGCAGGAGCACACATCCAATCAAGCAAGACCAAGGAAAGCAGGAACCTTTTTTTGATGCCTTAGAAGGGAATTCACACCTTGCGTCAAGAGGTGCTCCAAATGGTCTGTAATAGCAGCATGGGGACCAGTTGCAGTGCTGCCTGCAACATGGGTTCGACCAACAGCAGCAGTCTAGCTGTGTGTCAAGAACAGGGCATTGAAACCTGGGCCCTTCCACCCTGCAACAAGTACCTCTGCCCAGTGCTGCCCACGTGCATTCTCATCCCAGTGACCGCTGTTTGCCTGGTCTTGCTGGTGCTGGGTGTGGGTGGCAATGTCTTGACTGTGATTGTCACAAGCTGCTCCCAAGAGCTACGCAACACTACCAGTTTATATTTGGGCAGTTTGGCTGTCTCTGACCTGTTGATGCTCCTCCTGGGTCTACCCATGGATCTGTACCGTTTGTGGCGCTTCCAGCCATGGGTGCTGGGAACTGTGCTGTGTTGTGTGTGGCACTGGTCAAGTGAGGCATGTGCCTACTGTTCCATCCTGCATCTGACAGCCCTGACAGCTGAGCGCTATCTGGCCATTTGCTTCCCACTGCGGGCTAAAGTCCTAGTGACCCAACAGTGGGTAAAAGCCCTGCTGGTAGTGCTCTGGGCTGTGGCACTGCTCTCTGCTGCACCTTACTTATTCCTTACGGGAGTCAAACAGGCTGGCAACTTTTCCGGTGATGATGATTTCAGCCGTGAATGTGGCCCTACTTTGTACGCCCAACAGACAGGGCTGTTGAACACAATGCTCTGGGTCACCACCAGCTACTTCATCCTCCCCTTCTTCTGTCTCTACATCCTCCATGGCTTGATTGCTAGAGAACTTCTGTGTGTTGGCAAAGCACGTCTTGGTGTGGCTTCATACCGGAACCATCAGCAAACAGTGCGCATGTTGGGTAAGTAAATGGAGGTTATCTTAAAATGGGGGAGGAAACATTACTTTAGTGCTTCAATGTCCTGTCCATCCCTTATCTTTATCCAAGAAACTCCCCCAGCCCCATTATTTAGAATTAGGAAACCTTTGGATTCATAGCAGATTTCCATTGTTAGCGATTCTGTAGCAGAGGTTGACAATCTAAAACTCTCCCAATCTATTACTATACCACCTATTAGAGCTCCAGAACTGATGGAAACCCAAAAATCCTGGTGTATAATAAACAACTACGGAGATGCTCTGTGGAGTCCAAAAGTACTGAGTGAGGACGATCTAGTTCCAAGTTAACCTACAGAATGTCTTGCTAATCCTGCCTGCGTCTACTGAGTGTAAGCATGTAATCAGGGTTGCGTAGCCCAGGGAGCTGTGTGGCACTCCAGCCTCAGAATTTTTTTTAAAAAATAAGGATGAGCCCCTATCCTGAAGAAAGTTTTGTTGCTCATACCCTCAAATGCAGACTTCTGTGGGGATGTAACACTTCCTCAGAATCTCACAACACAGAAAGCTTTGGGCTCATGGGAATATTTCAGTTTTCAAAGCACAGGAGGTCTTCAGAAGCATCTTCAAATCGCATACCATCTCTGGCTGTATTCCCACACAGAGCCAAAGATGGAAAACCTCTGCAATCGAGGTCCCAAAAACGCCTTGCCAGAATTGAGTTAAAACCTCTTCTCCCCCATCTATTATCCAAATTCACATATTTTCTTTATATTAGTCGGACTGAACAATAAATTCAATGGTATGTTAATTTTATCAAGGCACTTATTGTTGAATGCCTCAAATAATTCCTATTCAGATGAAGAGCTGTTATTTTCTGACTTACCCTATGTCAGAGTATGTGTGAGTATCAATCCACTCCAAAAGCTCCTGGTCATGCTTTAGGTGTAACTGAACCAGATCAACAGGTCATCTTATTTCCTTCTTTTCTACTCACTTGCAGTTATCCTGGTTCTGGCATTCCTCATTTGCTGGTTGCCCTTCCATGTTGGCCGGATCATGTACATCAACCCAAAGAACTACAGGATGATGCTCTTCTCTCAGTATTTTAACGTTTTTGCATTGCAGCTTTTCTACCTGAGCGCTACTATCAACCCAATCCTTTACAATCTTGTCTCAAAGAAATACAGGGCAGCATTATACAAATTGCTGGTAACCAAAAAGCGACCAGAACGGGCTTCAACTATTACTAGAGAGACAGCTGGCTACCTAGAGATTACTGGATAATTTAAAAACGAGATGATTCCCAGAACCCTTTTCCCCCACTGCTTTCACTGATTGCTTTTTGGCAGATGTGTGAAATGAAGTTAATGCTTCCAGACATAGTTCTTTGAAATGTAAGACTGGGCTTGTGCTAGTGAAACCAAACTATCACCAGGGCTATTTGGACAAGCTGAGAAAGATGCTCTCTCCTTCCTGTGTATAGTATAATTATCACCTGGTCTTTCCTGTGAGCAAATGCTTGTAAACCAGTATTAGAAGCCACAAACTGATTTTGATTGGCAGGCAAGGACTTTCCTCCAGTTTGACAGCTCTGCAAAAATGGCAGCTTGAGTTTAACCACTGGTGAAGAAGGCAGGCTTGAGATCATTTAAAAGCTCTGTTAGCTTAGCAACATTATGGGGTAGCCCATTATTTGACATATGAGATACAAAAGATCCAATTTTCAATTCTCTACCACAGTTCTAGCGCAATAATTTTAAAAGATTCACCAGTAGCCTCTGGAGGGTTACTGTACTGCAGCTCGGACTACAGACCTATGAGCTTGACAAAAAGCCTTATTATAAAAATAACAGCCTATATTTTTGTTTAACGTATATAGTATGTTTATAAATCAGACTAGGCAGTAATGCTTTTGGTTTATTTATTTTAGCCGGTGTCAGAATGATTCAGTACTTTTGTAGCTGGGTTTTCAATTTGCCATAGTTCAAAAGACAAGACCCAGTTAGCTGGACTAGATAGACTAACAAAAATGATAAAACAGATATGAAATGGAAGACAGGGATTATAATTAAAACAACTATATCTTCATTTAGTTTAGCTCTCCATTTACTTCCCTAACATTGATACCAACCAGCTGATATAATATTAATTGTAATTCTGTCTGACATGGGGAACTGTAAGAAAACCTGGAGGTTTTATGATAATAATTATGAGATATTTGATTCTCATCTGGACAAAAATAGTAAAATTATAACCTATCTTGATTCAATTAAGGTCACAGCTGTAGGACCCTGACACAAGAGTGTAAAACATGTTGAGTTCACCCAGCTGTACAAAAACAAATTACACCTATATTTTTCCTGTAACAAAAATATAAGAATTTCATTAATTATAGGGAATTATGGGAAGTTTCTGTTCCCATCTGGCAGAGGTAGCAATGTACCTCTCTAGTGGAAGGCTGATTGCTTCAAGAGAACAATACTCAGTCAAGGGCTACCTTGCAAAATTCACAGAAGATAAGAAGCTGAAATATCACAGGTAGATCCTTAAGAAAAGATGAATGAGGTCTGGTTCTATTTCTTTAAGTACTTTCTTTGTCTGAGATCCCATCCCATTCTCTTTAGAATCTGTTTACTTCTCATTTCCTCCCCCAGCAGCAGCCGCCAAGGAAGAGTCTGATGGACCTTGGTAAAGTTTTTAACTGCTGATTTCCAAGGGCTTCTTTGGATTAGGACAAAGCTTGTGGAAGGCTGCCAATTTTTCCACACAAGGAAAACATAACGCTTGATGTTTTGTACAGATGCTAAAACTCCAAATCAGTGATTTAATTCTCACTATCACATCATTATAAAATTTCTAATTTAGAACCCATTTAAAAACAGAGTGGTCAGAATTTGTTTCTGTGATCCCAACCACTATATATATATATGTAGTGGCAGAAGGTAGTAAAAAAAAAACTGAGTAAAAAAAAAAAACTCTGTTAGAAGAGCAAAAAAACAATTACATTGTTTTTACCTCAGAGAATATCTAGACCCTATCTTTGTTGAGAGATTAATTGCAGATGGGAATTCGTGCATGTAATACTACAAAATGTGTTGGCAATTCTTCGTTTAAATGACACGGTTAAAAGTTCTTCAGCAATCCTGATCTCAAAATAATAAGTATTTGAGAGTAAAACAATTTGGTAGTTTCAGAAAGAGTACATCACATACTGAAAAAAGAACAAACATGTCATGATTCTTTCATGTGAGGTATCATCATTCTGAATAAAAGTGTTTACTGGCATTATTAAATAAAAACCATAATCTAATTGCTTCTGTATTTTCCAAGAGGGTCACTGCTATTATTTATAATTTTATCATAAAAAGTAAAACAGAAAAAAAACACCAAACCAAAACAAAAGCATAAATTCAACACCAGCAACAACAAAAAAGAAAAAATAGTGTCTTGGAGTATAAATGTTAAATTTATTTGATCACTTTTTCCTCTTTTTTGTACACTTCTACTTTAACCATTACATAAAGAATGAAACAACTGGTTTCATATTTAAAAGAAAACTAGCAAATTCAGTTCAGAAATTTTTCAATACATGCATTTGCATTAGAATGGGAAATTGATACCCAGCAATGTCTCATCCAATGCAGTGTTTCTTACTAAACTGAAAGATTAGAAATTATTAAAAATGATAAGAATGACTCTCAGTTTTCTTTTAGATAAGCGATGAAAAGAAATCAATACAATAAAATCAGCTTTGTACAAACAAAGAAAAGTGCATTAGCTATTATAAATAAACAAATGAATGCTGCTGTTTCTTCTCTTATCAAGTGATCAGGTTTTCAATAATTGCAGTCAGAGCTCTCCAAAGTACAGAAATAAGTATTTTGCTTCAGGTAAGATTGTCATATGTATAACCATATAGAAGAATTTCCTTGACTTTTTTCTTTCCTATTTTTTAATGCTATTGTCAAAATGAGAGAATATTTCTCTCAATTTGACAATAGGATAATTTTATCTATAAAGGGTGCAAAAATTCTTTGACTGTCTTTGGTAAATATCCCAAACTGGAAGACATTGAGGAAGAGGATGGGTGGGGGAGAGAAATATAAAAAAATATATATCTGAGTCATTATGATGTCTGTCAGCTGAGGCAAATATTTCATACTCTATTCTGAAATCCAATGGTAATTCATAGCTACATTGCTGCATGTGAATTATTGTAAAAATCATATGAAATGTGTTAAAGTTACTTCATCATTTTAATAAACACTCTTGGATGTCTTCAAGTACTTTACCATACATCAATTATTCAGTTTCTGCTTCTGTTGAATAAAGAAAATTGGTGAAGTCTTGAGAAGATTTTCTTAGCTAGCTCTTTTTTCTTAGACGCTCAATTAATGTTAATGAACTTTAACTTTCCTCTAGAATCTCCAGATGCTGTTATTGAAAAATAGCTTTCCTTTGATTCAGCTGATATATCCGTTGAGTTATCAATTTAGTTACTATGTCTTTGTTCATTTGTAATGGCTGATAGTGAATCTCTCTCTGTGTGTGTGTGTGTGTGTGTGTGTATGTGTGTTCCAGCATAGCTCTGGAACACCTCGAGCAATTTCAACCAAACCTGGTATACAGATAACTTACCCTCTGGAAACAAATACTGTGGTGGTAAGACACCCCTGATACCCCTCAGGGATGTGCGCCTTAAAATGGCTTCTACTGTACAGCACAGTGGATTTGCCATGGTAATGGCTTCACAGTACTCCACAAGGGGGACTCCCTTTTGTGGAGGAATAGAATTGTCACGCTGTGTGAGAGACACTACAGCAGCGTGAGTCCCAACTACAGGATTTTCCTGTCTAATACAGGATTGGGATAACTAAATACCCAGGCAATGTGGGTTATTGGCTACTTTGGAAATAAAATTAAGCTTAGTCTTTACAAAAGCATTCTGGTTATTACATAATTCTTCAACAATCAGATTAGCACCACCAACATTTTCATTTGTGATATTGACCCTGTAATATAATATCTACAACCAGAAAAATGAGTAGTATGAACAAAGTATAAAAAGGAATAGATTAAGATCAAGATTGAATCAAAATTAAAATACAGTTACTGAAATCAAAGGGATTTGGATTAGCTGTGCATAAAACCCACAGATTTTGAGTCTAGATTTGGTCCCATATTTTTTGTAGCTAATAAAATTCTGCAAAATAATATAAAGCTAATTCTAGTTTCAGCTAAGAAAATGCTTTAAATATGTTGACTTAAAGTAGGCACTCCCCTGCTGGAAAGAAGCATTCAGAATTATTAACATAGGTTATATTTGTATATTATTCCTGAATTTATAATTAGATTTAAAACTAATTTCAGTAAGTATTAAAGTGGAATATATGAAATAGCAGTATAAATGTGCTATTTGTCTCAACATGCTACAGCCAGCAAATATTTGTGTATGGGATGTTGATATGTTCATTGTTTCAGATCTCTATCTATTCTTTGCATAAATGTAAGACTGAGCTACAGAAAATAAACTAAATAAAATAAAATAAAATAAAATAAAAATATTCAAAACCCAATATAAAATTTAAACAGGATGATTTTTTTCAATTGCTATTGATTATTTCTCTTTATGGGATCTCAATAATTTCTATGCCTTAACCTGTCATAGCAAATGAATTTGGAATGGGACATGCTATTTGCTCTAAGGAAGGCGTGCTTAATGTTTTTTTCAAATAGACTTATCTAGACAGCTAACAGCCCGTGTTATCTGGCTGCTTTGCTAAAAAAAAAAAAAAAATCAAATCCATTGCTTCTGTGTACATTTCAACAAGTTGCTTAATACAACAAATATGTCGCTTTGTATTTCAAGGTTTGTCTAGTTTCCTGCCAGCTGGTCTGCTATTGTAATTGGTCAAAATACTTGAAGGGATTAAAACTCACAAGCTATTTGTCATTTCCGTGACCAATTTGCTCATTACTCCTGCCAAAGTGTACTATTTCTTTATCCATGTTTTATTATTTCCATGGTCTTATCTAAAAGAAAGATCTCCAGAAAGAAAGAAAAATATGGTATAGATGCTTTAGAGCTACTGTAAATAAAATGTCACATCTTTTACAGCCGGGGTCTCAAACTCATGGCATCACGTTGTTGTCACGTAACGTATCACAAATTTCCCCCCCTTCGCTAAACCAGGGGTGGGCGTGGCCAATGTGAGATACATCCGGCCCACGGGCTGTGAGTTTGACACCCCAGTTTTACTGTGAAAAGAATCCTATTGTCTCTG